ACATTTACATTTTTAAATTTCTGATGTTATCTTCTGAGATATTTTTATTCAATCTTTTTAAAATTGTGGCAACTTTGATACCAGCATTTCGTAATGTGTTATCAAAGTTACCCCAGTTTATGAAAAAAATATTAAATTGTCGTGGTACTATGGTGAATAAAAATATCATATTATCAAAGTTACCTCACGAAATCAAAGTTACCCCATTCTACGGTACTGTTACTATTCACCGAACAAGAGTTGACAAGTGGGATAAACTTGGATTCTGTCATCGATGAGTTCAACACCTTAGAAAATAGACATATGAATCTGTAAATATTATATACTAACCAGTAACCAATAATAATTAATATTGACTTGTTTCTGCTCTATTTTTTTCTATAATATCTATACTATACTCTGTCTATGTGTGTATAATGTATAATTCAAATTTTCCACGGGCACGCCCCGAACTTAAACTCTGCGCACGCCTATGAATGTGACACTGTGTAGTACAAACTTTGAAATTTAACAAAACAGATTCTAATTTTAGTCAGGAACTCATAAGCTTATTAATTTAGTTTTATATAAATAGGTACACAACAATTGCTGCTAGTTAGTGGTATATTTTAGAAATGTCTTGGGGAGAGGGGGAGGCACAAACAAAAAATTCAAATTATACATTGGTATAAATCATCCCAACTTATATTTTCCATCTCAAAATAAGTTTTAATTTACAACCAAATATTCAAAATACTAATGTTAACTTTTAACTTAACTGAAGGCAATTTAATTGAATTAACTTAACTTGTCACACTTAATTATTTTCATTAACTTGCCCATCTTTGCTAATCCGACAAAATGCACATAGCAAACACTTAAAAGTTAACCTATCAAAAAGATTAAAAATTAAACTTTATGCCTACCACTGCTACTTTGTCTAATCCTCGGTCTAACCTTACTAATTACTTAAATAATATTTGTCTTAATCTAAATATAAAACAAATAAATTAAAACTTAACATTTATTTATTATTTATTTATTTATTATCAACAATACAGACTGAGCTCAATTTACATAATATGATAACACTAATTAAAGGACTAATTGATTTTTGCCATATTATTTTCTATGTTCTTTGAATTATTTGTTTTTAACTAAAATCAATATAGGAATATTAATTAGGTACCTAATATGTTTTATTTGTTATTACTTATTATAATCATAAAACTATGAGCTCAATAATTTTGTATATTGTTACATTTTATTCTGAATTCAAAACTAATAAGATATTAGGTAACTTGCTTCATTATTTATATTATCATTCTAAATAAAAGATTATATATGTTATAATATTTTAGATGTCAATGCATATCAATACATAGCAAAAAAATATGGATTTAATGTTGTACACTAATATAAATATATCCCGAAATATATAATATGTATGTAGGCACCTATATAAATGTGAAAATGGAAGTTTTTGTCATGCATGTGTTCTCTGGCACTACTCATACAAAAGTCATGCGGATTTTTTTAACTGATGGGTAACTATTTCGCTGAGCAGATTTAAAGTATAGTTTTATGGACCTAACTTCTGTCCAGGAAATATTGAGGGATAAAATAGGAATAAACTGGTCGAGCCCCAGGTGCATCAATTCCCTGTCCAGTTAAATTAAATTAGAAAATAATTTTTAAAATGTTATCTTAGTCGAAGTGGGATAACACAGCCAGATATTGTATTAACTTAGGTAGGTAACTAGTTGAGTAATTATTCTCCCACTGATGTTGACTGGTGACGTAAATGGTAAAGTAGTGAATGTAGGTATCTATGGTTGTTGCCCGTTGCAAACAATCTACTCTTTCTTTAAAACTACTGATCTGATTATCTTGATTTTTTTTTCAAATGAAACAAGTACAATACAATATAAAATATAGTATATAATATATAGTTCTTTTGGTAAACTGTTGCAAGAGATACGTTTTATTGTTTGGGATGAATGAAGGATGGCAAATAAAGGCCATGGTTCTATACCTGAGGCTCTTGATAGGACGCCGAGGGACTTGATTATGATAACCCTATGGGAAGATTTGTTATTCTTTTTGCTGGTGACTTTAGGCAAAATTGAATACTACCAGTTGTGCCAATAAGCACTAAAGTCTAAAATTGATGAAATCAATGCTTGTCCTAAGTCATAATACCTGTGGTCTTACATTACATCCTTAAAGCTAACAACCAATATGCGGGTGTATCTCTGAGGTGACCATAATGCAGAAAGTTTTTCACAAACTCTTGAACTCTGGAAACAGAACTTTCCAGAATAACGATGATAGAACAGTACAGATAGATTTGTCTTTGCAATTTTGGTTATGAACAAAATGATTTAATCAACAAAGTATATCCTAAAATTTCTTAAATTTCTAATGAATCCAATGAATGTCTTTGTGACCGTGCGATTCTGGCTCCTAAAATCAACACTGTTTAAAACATAATGAACAAAAAGGTTCTTCCTATGTTCAAAATTGATAGCAAAACTATATATATGTTGATACACTTATTAATAAAATCAAGCTGTAGATATTCCTACCAAATTCCTTATTTTTTTTAAAATCCATCAGATCTCCCACCAGTCCCACCACAAAAACTCGATTTAAAAATCGGTTCTCCTATTATTCTCATCAAAATTTGAATGCACCCAAATTGACCAATGAAACTAGGGTATAAAATTTTTATTTTTACTGAGAATGGTCAAATTGTATACATTCCAAGAATACCGATAATTACAAATGAATATCCATTCGAATTCAAATGTGTTCAGTGTACAATTCCCCATTAAACTTTGTTTTGCAATTTTAATTAATAAATCACAAGGGCAGACAATGAAAGTTTCAGTAATCGACAACACAGATCCTTGCTTTACTCATGGCCAATTTTATGTTGCTTGCTCCTATGTTAGCTCATAAATAAACTTATATACCTATCTATATATAGGGACATTTTAGAAAATAGTAGTTATGAAGTATCTAATGTGTAGATTATTTTTTTTATCTTGTTTTTAATGTTCTTCTCGTATTATTTATTACAACAAGTCTTAAACTGAATTGTTAATTAATTTTGCATTGTTTAGAATTATTTGTGCATATTTTTCTATTTTTGAGTGTATAAATTATAGGTAAATTAATTAGTTCATAGCTCTGATCATAAATTATATATGTAGGTAGTTAGTTGATAAACTGAGAGGTTCATTTTGTGACCTATTTGTTGTTTAAATCTAAACGAACATCTATTATATTTTTTGACCTTCACATTTATTATATAAGAAGTGTTATATCTACTTATATTGTTTATAATAATATTTGATATAATTTTATGATCATCTAGAATAAGAAAAACTTATAGTCTATATGTACCTACAATATTTTTTTATATTATTTAAGTAAACAATAATTCTAATCTTACTTAATTTAAATTATTAAAATAATTTTTTTTTAGATTCTAAGCGGAGCTCTGAATGTAGTGATTTTACAATGAAGTGTTTTTCTTTTAATTTTTAATTTTTTTTAATTTTTGAGTGTCATCACCGTTCGGGGCAGTAAAACTGCTTTGATTTTCTTCAACAGTATCTTGTTTGATGGGAAAGTGAATCTTGTTGGTGCACTGAGAGGTCAAAATTTATAATTCCTAATAGTTTTCAAACACTCTAGGAAAAACAAAATTAAAATTAAGGAAAAATAGGAATTTTTACGCAAATTCGGTTTATGAATTTCAATAAAATTTTATTTGTTGTGTCAAAGAGCTTGAAAATTTAATACAAGGCTCCTAATATATTGTTATTTATTCATTGTCACAATTTTTTTTATAAGCATTTAAAGTTAGAATTTTGACAAAAGGCATAAAAATTACAAAAATGTGGAAATTATTTTGAGTTAAAAAATTTTCTTTTTAAATCTAAGATTTTAAAATGTCATGCAAGATTCCTTAAAAGATTTATTTTTTTACAAAACAAAAAAAAATGTCTAAGGAAGTCAAGTTAAATTTTTATGAGCGCTTGAAGTTCATTTTTACTAACAATTTCTCAAGTAGCGATTTTCTTATTTTGTTGTAATTCAAAAACAAATAACTGTAGACAGTAGAAACTCATTTTATATCATAGGTTTAATTTATCAATTACCTACTATATTTGAACTCAAAATATTTTGATGGTTTTCGAATTGTAGTTATAAAAAAGGTAATTAGGAAAAGAATAGAGAATACAGAATAACGATTCAAAATCCATAATACTTAGCCCTTTTAATTTTGCCGTTTAAATAATTATTTTATTAGGTTGTGTAAGATAGGTAATATCAATGTTCAATTATGAGAACTATTTTATTCTATTTTTAATATAAGGTATATATTATTATCTAATAAATATTAAACAATTTTACATAATACCAATTTCATATGTATAATGTGTAATAAATATTAATTTATAAAATTTACAATAATATTATATTATTATACTTAACCATAATAAAAATTATTTTGGGTCCAACTCTAAAGTACCTAGTTATGAGGGAAGTATATTACTATTCATTTGTGAGTATCTGAGTTTTTATACTTTTTATTATACATGAGTTTTCTTGTGAATTTGTAACTTGAACTTAAATTTTTATATTTGATATTCATTTATTTATGAAGTTATTAATAAAATTAAAAATATTTATTAAAGGTAGGTTAGGTTACTGGTTACATAATATAGGTTTGCTTTAGCTATTTAGATATAATATATTGGTACCTATTTATTTTTCATTAAGTATCTATCGAAACAAATGCATTTTTTATCCACTCTAAATTTAAATCAATTATTACATTTAATAAGCTTTTTTGATTCAATATGACATGTAAACGATAATTTATTTAAGTTGATATGAATTATTTAATCACAACTATTTTATTTTATTTTTTATAGGTTAGCCATAATTGTGTTAAAATATTTGATGGTTTGTAAGTCACTGTAAAGTGAAAAATTCTGATTGCCATGGGTACGATTGTAGAGAGTTTTGCCAATTGTTCAATATCGACTCGGGATAGAGTAATTGCTCCTTCAAATCAAATTCAAATTTTTCAACTCATTGTAACAAGTAAGTTCAACATTTGTATTAACAGAATACCAGCATCTATAAATTGTTAATTTAATACTGTTTCGTGTGGGAAATAACTACTCAAAATATAATCATAGCTAAGCCAAGTTATATTCACCAAAAAGAGAAGAACTTGTGCAATAATACAGGAAAATTGCAAACATAACACTATTTTTTAACTTAAATGCATTTTACTATAATTAAGTTTGAATGTTGATTCATTCGAATTTTATTGCTGTTTTAGTTGAAAGCGCAAGTTTAAAAAATAATGGTGGATTGATTAAACCGCATCCATATGTTGAACTTATTGTTGATGATTGCAAAAGAAATAAAACTGAAGTTATCAAAAATACATATCAACCGAAATGGAATGAAGAATTCACTGTGTATGTTAATAGTTATTATATAAATATTAAATTAAATTATAATTGGTATTGAAATTATTTTTTTTTTAGACTTGTTACTCCATACTCAATATTACACTATCGTGTATTAGATTATTGTAAATTTCAAAAAGATGTGCTTATAGCAGAAAAGAGTATTAGTCTTTATGATATTTTAAGTAATTATAATGGTGTCTGTGATAATTTGGAGTTGACAATTGATTTGATACGAGTTCGTCATCATGATCATCAAGCATCCGCATCTAACAATTTGGTCAAGGTTGGAGAGTTGATTACTATATTACATGGTTTTCATATTGATATGTCTCAAGTTTCAAATCCATCTAGAGAAACAGGCAATAGTACTAATAATCACCAAGGTACCTACTAATACTCAATATATAAAAGAAAAATTAATTTAAGTCATTATTTTTCAATAGGATTATCAAATGGCGATTTTAGTAATGGAGTTAGAGCTCGTAGTCGTTCCTCGACAACGGCTGCTATTGGATCACCAGTTCCAACAATAGGTAATAGCTGTTTTTTTTATTATTTGAACCATTTATAATAGATTTTTTAATGAAATTCATTCATACACATTTTAGACACGAATGTATCAAATAATCTTGTAAATAATGCGTTAACTAATAACATTCGAACATCACAAACTCCACCATCACACAACAATTCTGCTGAGGGAACAATTACTGTTCATCATCAAAACGGTCCTGTTACATTACCAATAGAAGAACCATTGCCCGCAGGGTTTGTGAAAATAATTAATAATATATTATTTTTGAGCTACAACATTTAATTAACAAATTTTATTGTAGTTGGGAAATGAGATTTGATACATTTTCACGACCATATTATGTGGATCATAACACAAAATCAACTTCTTGGGAAAGGCCACAACCATTACCAGCTGGTTGGGAGCTCAGAAGAGATAACCGTGGGCGTATTTATTATGTGGATCATAATACTCGTACTACAACATGGCAACGACCAAACATTGAAAGACTGCAGCATTACCAACATTGGCAAGGCGAAAGAGCTCATGTAGTTCAACAAGGAAACCAAAGATTTCTGTATCCTCAGGTAAAATGTATAAATACTATATATTTTTCTATGTAACTAATTATTTTTGTATGATATGTTTAGCATGCTCTAGGAACAGGTTCTGGACCAAATAGTAGACAAACTACAGGAGTTCCACCAACCCCTGTTGTTGAAGAAGAACAGTTACCCAATGGTTGGGAAAAGCGTCTCCAACCTGATGGTAGAAGTTATTTTGTTAATCATAAAAGTCGCATTACCCAATGGGAGGATCCACGTACACAAGGGTATAAATGAGAAATATTTTTTAAATTTAATTTTAATGTTAATTAATTTTATTAGAACTGAGTTGATTATTGATAATTCTGATTTACCAACTGGTTGGGAAGTAAGAAAAACCACTGATGGAATTAGATATTTTGTTGATCATAATACACATACAACTACATTTGAAGATCCTCGTAACCATGTACCACCTATTCAATGGTAAATATAAAGAAAGAATATTAATTAATAATTATAATAATTATGTATTATAAGTATAAACATATTTATAATTTTAGTTCTACTGGTCCTTATGGGGTACCTGCTGCTTATGAAAGGTCATTCCGTTGGAAACTAAGCCAGTTCCGGTATTTGTGTCAAAGTAATGCAATATCAAGCCACATTAAAATAACGGTTTCTAGACAAACACTGTTTGAAGATTCCTATCATCAAATTATGAGATCTGCTGCGTATGAAATGAGGAAACGTTTGTATATAGTATTCCGTGGCGAAGAAGGCTTGGATTATGGCGGCGTTTCACGGTACATAGCTTATTCATTATTAAAACAATTCAATACCAGTATAATAATATAATTATTGAATTCCACAGAGAATGGTTCTTTTTACTTTCACACGAAGTACTCAACCCAATGTACTGTCTGTTTGAATATGCCAACAAAAATAATTATAGTCTACAAATTAATCCTGCTTCGTATGTGAATCCAGACCATTTGTTATATTTCAAATTTATTGGACGATTCATTGCTATGGTAAGTATTATATTAAATATGTTTTAAATCATGTGGAATATTATATAAATATTATTACAATTACAGGCTTTATATCATGGACGTTTTATTTACTCTGGTTTCACAATGCCCTTTTACAAGCGTATGCTGAACAAAAAACTTACCATGAAAGACATCGAATCTATTGACCCAGAATTTTATAATTCATTGGTTTGGATACGTGACAATAATTTAGAAGAAAGTGATATTGAAATGTACTTTGGTGTGGATTTTGAAGTACTTGGTCAAGTTGTCCATCACGAGTTGATAGAAAATGGTGACAAAGTGAAGGTTACTGATACTAACAAAGATGAGTACATTAGATTAATGACTGAATGGAGAATGACCCGTGGCATTGAAGAACAGACTCAAGCATTATTAGATGGATTTAATGAAGTAGTTGCATTAGAATGGTTGAAATATTTCGATGAACGTGAACTGGAACTCATGCTGTGTGGCATGCAAGAGATTGACGTCGAAGACTGGCAACAGCATACAATTTATCGCCACTATAATAGAACTAGCAAGCAAATTAACTGGTTTTGGCAGGTACTAAAGTTAATTGAATTAATATTCTTATTATTAACTTTTTCACTGCTACACTATTTATCCTCAACAACCTGTGTAATATGCTACGTAAAATAAAATATTTTTAATTGTTAAATTAAATATATTTTGTGTTAATTTGTTTTAAAATGTAGTTTGTAAAACAAGCTGACAATGAAAAACGAGCAAGACTTCTACAGTTTGTGACTGGAACATGTAGGGTTCCGGTGGGAGGGTTTGCTGAACTTATGGGTGAGTTAAACCAAAAACTATAAATAATATTGTTAAAAAACTTAACATTTTTCTTTGGATTTATGCTGTGATTAGTAATTATTAATAAATAAAATTATACTTATGTTTAGGAAGCAATGGAGCGCAGAGGTTTTGCATTGAAAAGGTTGGTAAGGAAACATGGTTACCTCGGTCTCACACATGCTTTAACAGGTTAGACTTACCGCCATACAAGAGCTATGACCAACTAGTCGAAAAACTCAATTATGCTATTGAGGAGACTGAGGGGTTTGCTCAAGAATGAAACACAAATATATTCAGGTTAATGTTCCATCAATTGTTACGATTTGAAATATAGATATAGTAGTATATACTAATATTTACAAGACCAAACAGTGATATCATGACCTCACAATATCAAATAAACGGTGAAACCGTATTTAGCCCTTTAGAGGTTTAAAATACATTCCTTAATTTATATTCTGTTTTTTATTTTATGCATCGTTAATTAATTTTGGAGTTAAAGTGTTTTATTCATTGATGTTTCTCGTTATATATCTCCCTTTCATATAGTTACTATTACTTATAGATTTTAAGAACTGTGTTTTTATAAATAAGGCGCATGTATGTAATAAATAAATACAAAAATACTTTTAATGTAATAATATATACAAAAAAAAAAAAAAATGAATAGTGGTTATGATTTATTACAAACTTCGATTTTGGTGAACGAAAGTATAATTTATGTATAAATAAATCAAATTCCACTTATTCACTTTAAATAATTTTTACTATAACATTCAACTAATATCTGTTATAATTTGTTAACTAAACATAGGGTACTTAAATATTTAAAATAAATTAAAATATTTATTTATTGCAGTACTAAGCAATCATTAGAATTGAAAATACATGTGACCTAAAGCTGCGATAATAATTACATTTATTATTGTTGTTTTTCTTAGATTGTGCTTACGCTTTTGCGAACATGTTTATTTTTTTAAAACATAAAAAGTTACCATGTATAACAATTGTTTATTTTGTATTCTGAAATCTTATTATGAACAATTTTAGCATTAATTACAATATATAAGATTAGATACCATACAGCATTTAGTAAACAATTTTGTTTAAAAATGTCGATACATGAAAAGTGTATTCAATTTTTTTATGAAAGAGCATTTACAAAAAATAAAATTTAGCTCAAACTATTTAAAATATTTTTTAGGAAATGTCTTTAGAAAATATTTATAAAATTTGTTCAGAAATTATTTTGCCTAAAATACTTTTAATATGTCATTAGAAAATGAAAATTCATCTTAATGATTTTAACCTTTAGTGACGGGCGCGGTATCAGACCATACAGTTGCGCGCGTGTGGTAATTATTTTCCGTTAATATAAAAATACTTTTCTTTACATTATTCAGTTATTATTGACTATTTATTGAACATTTTAAATTACAATTTATAAAATATCTTTCTTATTACAAATACCTTTGTTTACAAATACATAATTTTTATTTCCTTAATATTTAAAATTATTAAAATTATGAAGCCTCAAAGCAGTCAGGGCAAGTCTCTATGATATGGTCTCTGCAAATGAGCCTTGCGCAATTGGTACATACTTTTGTAGCTTTACGATCTTTAGAGTGGTCACAAAAAGTACATCTTCCAGAAGCTTCTCGTACACGTTGTATTTCCCCCACGTTAGGTCTTCTTATGTTGCAGTATTCATTTAGTCTAAATTTTATTTGTTTTGGCAAACAATCCAGTGTCCAACGATATTCAATTTGTTCTTGCATTAATTGACGAGCTAATGTCTTCAAAAATACAAGTCTCGTTTTTTTTATTGAAGTATTTTCTTGAAAAATAATTTGTGCGTTTAGTCCACCGATGTTTAGCAATGAATAAAAAACTACTAATGGCCAACGTATACACCGCCGTGCCACAGTGTAATTCTCAGTTTTCTTATCCATTGTATCCACAGAGCCTTTTGTTGCATTATACTTCATTATCATGTTAGGTTTTTTTGCCGCCCCTGTACTATTGCTGATTGAATTATCATTGTGCATTGTGGATAATAGTAATACTATTTTGTTATAATAATAATATACAGTATGTCCCAAAAGTCCCGTATCACCCTTAATATCTCCATGTAAAATCACTATATTTAAACGCGGTTTTTTTTACAGTACTAAGTATGAAAATTCTGATTGAATGGCATAAAATTCATTTATTTTTTTCTTTAAAATCAAAAATTTTCAAAAAAATTTTTTACGCATTTAAGAATTAAAAATGTTTAAGATAGCCATTTTGTTGAGCATATTTTTTAACACAGTTCAAAAAAAAAAAAAATACTAAAATTAAATAAAAATTGACCAAGTTAGAGCAAGTTATGTTTTTGAATAATTGTAGTAAAAAAATAAACTAGGAATGTAAAACTATTGTCATGTGTGCTGAAATTAGATATTTCATTATTGAAATGTGAAACAATAATTTATTTTTTTACTACAATTATTCAAAAACATAACTTGCTCTAACTTGGTCAATTTTTATTTAATTTTAGTATTTTTTTTTTTTGAACTGTTAAAAATATGCTCAACAAAATGGCTATCTTAAAAATTTTAAATCATTAAATGCGTAAAAAATTTTTTTGAAAATTTTTGATTTTAAAGAAAAAAATAAATGAATTTTATGCCATTCAATCAGAATTTTCATACTTAGTACTGTAAAAAAACCGCGTTTAAATATAGTGATTTTACATGGAGATATTAAGGGTGATACGGGACTTTTGGGACAAACTGTATAATATTATATAGGTATAATAAAATGAAAAACACAAAACTGCATTTTACTCAAAACTAATATTACAAGATGTGTAACATATAAATAAAAATTTATAATTACTATAACAACAAAACTGTAATATAAATTAAATTATTACTTACCAATCATGTACAGGCAACCAAGTAAACCTTTTATTTTCCGTGTGGTTGTATAAGCTACATCATAGGCGTGTCTACGGTGGCAGCCTAGGGTGCCTGGGCTGCCCCTTCAATTTTTAAAAGGTGCCGGTCAACCAAGTCTTAAATCAGAAGGGTCATCATTTATTTTTTTTTTAAATTTGATTTTTTTGTGTGTATCGTTATAATTACCATTTACTTACAAGGATATGTCCAACAAAATTAGGTAGATAATATCTTTATTTAACATGTATTGTCAAATTGATATCCTGACTTCGGAAATCGAAAAAACCTACTATAAAGACTTGAGACGGTACAGTTTCGCATATAGGTATTATTGATATTATTGTTGTATTATGTTTGATTTGTAGCTAGATGGTGTAATCCAAGGCTGTAAATGAATAGGGATCAAAATTTCCGAAAAAAAACCCGGGGTTTTTAACCGTTTTTTCGGAAAAATTGGGAAAGGATATGGGAGGAATTGAAAAAATACGGTTTTTGGTGTATAGGGCTTTTTTCGGTTCACTAATAAGGTAGCGCCGATCATTAGCTAGGCTGCCCCTGCCGATGAAGTCTAGTCACGCCTATGAGCTACATCTTTCTCTGGCAAAATTTGACTTTATTTTATCGATGTATATATTCGTACAGAACACTATATGTTCGATCATAGGACCCGTAAAAAAAATATACGACGCTTCAATTTCGGTTTTGCATTTTTTGCCAAATTAGTCACACCTGGTTTTATCAGTTATCTTATTGTAACTTGGATTTTTTGTTCTCTGATTTGGCTTACGACGATTAAATTTTGTCCCATCTTTTCCATAAAAACACTCTACCCTCATACTTAGTGGAATTTCATGATACGATTCGCAATCTGCTGATAGTGTTTATTGAATATCATCAACATGTTCATCAGGTGAACATTCGTCAGTAGAAGATGTACCACCCCACAATTCCTCGTCATTTATGTCATTCAATAGACATGCAATACGACGGCGTTCTAATTCGTCCATACTTACAAAAAAAAACGCCTATTATCAAACAAAAATAAGCGCGCGAGGGGTAAATTTTTGCCGAACTACAAACACAACCACTTTAGTCAACGATTGCTCACGTACTGATGTTAATTAAATCCAGATTGTTACGTTTTTATGATTGTATGATAGTGACTATGATAGCTTGACCCGCATGCAGTGTTCGCACTTATCTAGATGAATATCTAGATAATTATTTGTTCATCTTTTATTTTATCTAGATAAATAGTTACAAGGTATTTAAAAGTTCATCTTGGATAATTTTTTTACTTAACTAAAATATAAATTCATCTAGATACATTTTTATTGATAAAAATCGCGAAATTGTAGAAATGCATTTTTAAATATTTATACAGATTCTCAAACAAAGCTTATGGTTTATAAATAATGTAATTATTTTTATTTATAATATAATTATTATTATTATTATTATTATTATCATGTTCCTAGTGAGCAAATAAAATATACCTAAATTTAAGTTTTTAAGAATTATTTAAAAAAATAACTATCTTTTTTTTATCTAGACGAAAAAGTATTCATCTTTATCTTTATCTAGATAAATATGAGTTAAGTTATCTTTTATACCTATCTAGATACATTTGAGTTGCATTGTCTTTATTTTTATCTAGATAAAAAAGTACTTATCTAATCCAAACACTGCCTGCATGAGTGTGGAAAATCCAACAAATATTTGATAGCATTTTAAAAATAGACTGGGGTAAATAATTACCCTGCGCGCGTCACTAAAGGTTGAATACATAGTTTCCTAAAAATCATACTGACCGTTTTATAGTACTACTTTGCTGTGTGTGAGCATATTGTATCGCTTGAATATACATTTATTTTACTTTATCATTATAAAAAATATTTATATAATTCCTGTGCTCTAAATTTATTCTCTTTTTTTGTTAAATTAAATAAATTATTTAAACCTGTGAGCATAGGCGTGCTCTCAGATGTGGCTTGTTGAGCTATAGCTTCATATCAAGTTTTTTATTTAGATATTCACCAAAAAAGTTTATCCCCTAAAGAAGGGATGGTTAATTTGTTGCGTGCTAAAAATAAAATATTTATTATGTTGTATGTTTAATAATAACTAACAAGACCGCAAATTATTTCTTATTTATGTATATATTTTATAATTTAATGGCCTGTAAGAAAAAAAAAACAGTTTATTTTTGGCACAGAAAAATTTGACTTCCATGTTCTGTAAAGTCTTTTTTACCTAACTGCTGGAATTTGGAAGTATTATCACAACGACAACATCGCATTTCAGAACACGGGAGATGCGTTATTTAATTATATAG